AACGCCATTTGGCAGTCAAAAATAATCATTCGATATAAGCACATCAAATTATCTGATAATTTATAAAGATTTTAATAATTAGCACAAATTTTGTTTATTGTATTTCTATGGGGTCCGTAACAATATTTATTAGTTAAACATATTTGAAAAATTCAAGTTTTCAAACAAGTGTTTTTTTTTCAAAGTTTTCCAAACATTTTACAGAATTTTAAAACAAAAAAATTGGTACGGAAAGTTCCAGCAGTTTCCTTCAAGGCACGATGCCCTAAGGTAAACTTTGAACTAGATTCAACCATTTTTTATGTAACCTCTTTAAAAGTTTATATGTGAGTGGGGGTAAAAAGAATAGAAAAAACCTCCAAACACTAGCAAATAATAAGAAAGTTGTAAATTTGAAATTAAATTAAAACGTGTAATTTTGAAAAAGATACATTAAAATAATAGTTATTACAAATTTACTGATAATTATTTATTATATCATAATTACTGTGCAATAAATGATCATTTGGTTAATGCTCTTAGTTAAAATATATATTAGCAATTTCTTCAAAAATATATTTTCTACTGCCTTTTTACTTTTTACTTTAGTATCGACCATACTATAGATTGATTTTGTGACAATTTGTTTTCAAGGGTACTCCTTAATTTGCTATTTAGTGAACCGTTTCTTTTCGCAATATATTCATTTTATTCGAACACAAAGTCTATTCAGCTCTTTTATTAATAGTACTTGATTGAACACACATTGGTACCTTTATAAATATATTATTTATGTAGGAAATACTTGCGATTAAATCTCTCTGAGTAACGGTTTTCAACGAAATGAAATGAAGTGTACAATTTTCCCGTGAGCAAACATTAAATCGGTTTGCGGTAAACATATTTGATTTAGGATTTGAAGTATATAAATAATGAAATTCGATTCAGAAACTAAAGAAAAGGAAGCTTATGAATAATACGATTTAGTGAATGGTGTAACTGCGTGTACAATTTCATACATTTCTTTGCAGAAATTGAGGAAGGAATTCAATCAAATTTATAGTAGATATAAACGAATATATAAAATTACACTTCGAAAATAGAAATGCATTAAATAAAAATAATGCGTCTATAAATGCAGAAATACATCTATATAGAGTCATTAAGATATGAATGAATAATAATTATTTTTTCACTCTTGTCTGCAAAAAATAATTATATATCACTTGTAGACATTTTTCATATTTTTTTTTTTGCAAAATCATGGACGAAAAATGCATACGTAAGACATAACTTAACTTTTATTTCATTTAGGATAGAACAGACTTAAATGTTTGCGGGTAAAAAAGACCACCACTGATTTCTCAAAAAAAAAGTAAAATTGAGAATTTTTATCTACAATATTTGCAAGTAGAGTAAAAATGATGTTTAAAAATCTCTTTAATATTTACTATGTTACTATCGGAGACAAGCGGCAATATTTGAAAATCCACAACAGAAGTATTTTTGTTTCGATGTTAGTTTTTTGGTTGTGAGCACTGTTGTTTAGTTTACGAGATCTCAGTATAATTTTTAAGTATACGTTAATTAATTAGATGTATTGCTAATTTTGATATAGATTTAACAGTTTTTTCAAATAACGTATATGAAAAATCACACCTGGGTGGGGTAAAAAGGACCTGTACCCTAGAAGAGGTGAAAAAAATAAAAAATGCAAATAAAAAAGGATAATAATTTAAAAAAACACTTTCACAAGAGACAAATTAAATAGATATTTATCCCAACACTGCTGATGAATATTTCTGAAAATCAAGGTTATTTACAGTGATATCTCTAAAACTGCACCCATGCAATTGATATTTTGCATTGGTGGAATTATGTAGTGAAGATATTTTGTAAAATCCCTTCAAAATTAATATAGAACTTGTTTGGCCCCTGACCGTCGCAATTTACCCCGCCTTACAATGATGAATTGGCCAGGATTCTACTGAACATACTCAGATAGTTGTTTGTTTGATATGTATTATTTTTTGTAATATAATTGGTTTGGTTTTTTACAATATAATTGTTCAAACTCAAATTAAACCTATGTGCCTCGCCCTACCCTGTTTCAATATATGTACTAATATTTTTACTAGTATATGTGATTTATACTAGTTTTTATACTAGTATATATAATTTTTACTTTTAGTATAAATAATAATATTTTGTGCACCTACCCAGAAATGTGAAGTTTTGTATAAGTTAAACTTGTCAGTTAACAAAAATTTAAAATATTTGATAACACGTTCATTATAGTTAAACAACTACTTTACATTTTTATTTTGTTATAGACTACGTCAATGTATACAGAAATATTTATCGTGATGTGTTATCGGTTTTGATTATCATTTTTGTAGAAGAAAATAAATTTAATTTTTCATGTTGAGAATATACTTCTCTTTCTAGCAACTTAAAAAAAAAATTCATTGAAATATGTTTTTGAACATATTAAAAATAATCAAATTGAGAAATGTATTGACTTATATAGTTTTTATTGAATACAGAAATTTACTCGAAATTTTGAAAAAGCATATACAGTTACAAAGTTCCTGATGAAAGTTGATTTATTCATAACGTGCTATCAAAAATTTACTCGTATAATATTTGTTCATGTTTGCAAAGGATTATAAGGTACTCTGTTTCCCAAGCCACCGTTGAACAAATTGTTAGAGTAATTGCGATATCTGAACCGTAACAATAATGTTAATGAGCTGACAAGACCCACGAAATGGCAATAATCTACGATAGTTTACCTAACATTTTATCCTCGTACAAAGAATAAGGGAGCTGAAATCCTGAATTCTTAAGCCAAAGAGTATTTTCGTTTTTTACCCAATCTTATAAATCGTGAATTTATCTAACGTGTTTTTGATATTGCGGTAAACGAGTTGCATCTTGAATATCGAATTTACATTGATATTTTGTAATTCTGTGCTTTAGCAATATTCACCAATTAGTTTCTTTGGGGCTTAGATTATGGTTTTATGTTTCATTTAGTAAAAAAATTAAATAATAACCAATAGCCTGTCATATTTAATGAAAAACTATTATGTCAAATCATGTTATCACTTATGTATAGATCTCTGAGCAGATGAAGAAGTGATTTAAGAATAAATTTTCACCACTCGTTTGTACTAAGACAATGGAATGGTAATAGGTTTATTTCAGATTAGAAAAGCTAGAGGTTAGTTGTAACAGTTTTGTTTTAATTAATATATCTTGAAATCCACGAATTATATTTTTATGAAATAAGAAGGGATGGTTGCCGAAACTATTCCTTTAGTTAAACAAGTAAAAATATATTCACATATGTTCATCATTGCACAATTAGTCTAATTCTAGAATAAATGCGGTGTTATAGCTTACCTCGTACTTGGGACTATTTATAACATCTACCAGAATGAAAAAAATTAAATTATTACTTTGCGAATAATTTGAAGTTCATTTTTTACCACCAGCAAAGTTTATTGAAAATCGTTTACATCAAAGCTCTGTCTAGCAATTACTGGAAGTAAGAACTCGTCAAGGAAACCCACCTAAAGTACAACATTGTAGAGGCAGTGGTTTATTTAGGAACCATGAACAGTAAAATGTTGATGTACTATTAGACATAATGCATTAAAAGCTTCCATTACACACAGAATGAAATTAAACCTATAAATCCTTTATTTGTATAACACAAAAATTAACAAACCAAAATTTGAACTTGTTAGTCATACACTTTATGCCCATAGGTTTAAGTAAATATCAATAATATATCACAATTATTATTTTGAATTAGCGAAAAACTATGTTGACAATTGACACATAACATGCTCAAATTTTAAAGTTTTTCTCTTTGAATTAGTTCTCTTAAAACTAGTTGGAAAATATTTTTAATTAAGTAACTGAAAAATATTCAAGTGATAAAAGATTCAAGAGAGTTGTACTTTAGAACAAGTTTTGGAATAACTTAAATTGAAATAAGAAGATAAAATATAAGTGAACTTTTTACGTTAAAAGGTTAAAATAAAATGAATAGTCAATTTACATTATTTTTTTTTATTTACAACATTTTAATAATCCATGTTATTATTTTTGTAACTCTTTTTCCTCCTGTGAATAAATCATCCTGAAAATAAAATAAGCTTTAATTGTTATTTTATTATTAATAATTCTCTTTGATTATAGCTTTTTAATATATATATATATATATAATATAATTTTACTGCATATTTAGGTATTTAATTTCTGTATATTGTAAATTTGTGTTTTAATTAACATGATCTAATTATCTAACTCTAACAATTGATAATAAAATATCACTAATATATATTCATCTGGTAAAATGAAGTTGATTTCACAATTTTTCAGATCTTTAATAAATTTTTATGTTTGAGGAAGGTTTAATAAATTTTTGATAATACAAGGTTTGAGGAAGATCTAAAATTATTTTTCAAATTGGAAATTTAAACTACTGATCATAGCAATGAATAATTAATCAATAAAATGTCTTGGCAATCTTATAATGAAAATGATATAGAACTAAAAGACTAAAATTATATAATCAAGAACTGAAACAAACTAGAAAACTGGCAAGTTAGTACAACAAAAAACTCTGCTAACTTAATTGGAGAATTTAAATAGAAAATGTTGTAGAATGCTGTTTTGTTTTATTAAAACAGTTTTCACTTACAAACAATTAGTATTCATGCTAATTTTATTTAATCTATTTTGTTTAGGCTTTTAGGGAACAGTTTTTATACTGGTTTTAATATACGATAAGAACAAAGATCAATACTAAACTTGCCAAAACAACATGATCAAGGTATGAATGTAAGAGATGAAGCTACTAACACATTTTATACTCGTACCGAAAGAGTTAATTTCAGATCTCATTTAAATTTAATTCAATAACATGAAAATAAAATATTCTAGAATATTTTATGCACTTACCTGTTACCTCAAGGAATATGTTCAAGTTTTATCATTTCTTTCAGAGGGAAAGGCCATGGCTACAGCTTACGATTGCAAATTCATTGAGACTTCAGTCGGCATCAATCACAATGTGGACGAACTTCTGGTGGGGCTATTGTCACAGATCAGACTTAAATTAGAAAACCCAGAAAAATCACGGTAAGATAAAACTTAGTTGTTAAACCAATAAAGTTTTAAAGGTCAACATGTTTATTTCAAAGTTTCAGAATTTAATTTGCTTAACAGAATAGATTTTGATTTTTTTGAATAAAATATTTTTCAGATCATTATTGAATTTGTTTAAGGTTGAAAATAATATTATATATAATTGTTTTTTTTTTTATAATACCGCAAAAGCAGACGATTGTTGCACAGTCGCACAGTAGAAGCGTTAAGCAAGCTAATGCCACAAGTGTCATCAGCATACTGTTGTTAGATTTTTTTGTATATATTTTTTATATTTTAAAAATTATTTTTATGTAATGTAATATGTCTCAGATCATTTTGACATTTATTCATATTTTTGACATAGTGAATCGTTTGTTTTCATTAACTATCATAATATTGTTAATTACTAAAATTATAAATATAATTAATTTTTATTTTTCCTGTGGAAAATTTGCCCTCATCAAACAATATAAGTTGTTCTTTTTCACACCCAAAAGCTGCTATATATTACTAGCCCTTTTAGATGTAACAAATCTTTTTTTTTTTTGAGTCCAATTATTTTACAAACGCCTAAATAAACATTTTTGGCAGCTATTATTGGTATTTGCTTCGCCTCAAATGGAAAGTCTTCAATTGTAACTTTTTGAAATCTTTAATTATAAATACTAATTAAAATTGCAGACTTATATCTATTTAAATATTCTCTATGTATTTACAAATAAAGAATTCTAACTCATTCGATCTCGACTCGGAAAAGCATTATTTCAGAAGTTCCATTATTAACTTCCCGTAGGGCAAGTTATAGTAAGCGCAAAAAAATCGAAAATGAAAATTTTTGCATTTCTCGACGTTTCTGACGGTTTCTGAATATTTTGGCATACCTTAGAAAAAATGGATGTGTGTGTGTGTATGTATGTGCGTGTGTGTATGTATGTGCGGATACAAATTTTCGTCGACGATTTCGGGAACACCGATAAACCGATTTGAATAATTCAAAGAACATTCGATTCGTATTGATAAGGAGACGTGCTGATTAGTTTTCGGCGAAGGCAGGTCTAGCCGTTCCGAAGATACGGCGCAAAAAGTTCCGCAAACGGTAACTCAGTTTTTAAGAGAACGGAGCGTCCGATTTAATAATTCAAACAACATTTTACTTGTACTGACAAGATGAAGAATTGATAAAATTTTCATGAAGGCAGGTCTAGCGGTTTCGAAGATTTAGTAAAAAAAGTAAAAAAAAAATGCCATTTGGCGTTCAAAAATGATCATTAGACATATGCACATCAAATTACCAGATATTTTATAGAGATTTTAACAATAAGTATAAATTTGGCTTACCTTCCTATGGGTTCCGTACCAATGTTTACGCGTTAGACGGCGACACGGCGCTTACGCGCTTTGATATTTTGTCTTTATGCAGTTAAAGCAGTACGATTGCTTTGAAAAAAAGTTTTAATCTTCCAAAATATGTCAAATTAAAGAAAGTAGTTAATCAAAAATCTTATTTTTTCGAAGTAAAATTTTTTCAAAAATGTTAATCGTTTTAAAAAAAAAAAAAAAATTTGGTACGGGAAGTTCCAGCAATTTGCCTTAAGGCACGATGCTTTAATTGCCTTAAGACAAAATTCCACTTACAGCTAGTTAATTATCAATTTGTTTTAAATCTTCCTTATTAACTTCTTCTATAAGGACATCGGTGCATTTCCAAATTGAATCGGTCCCACTTGGATACTTAAGCGAGTTATATCCTTTTTTATACACAATAATTTGAATAGTATTAGAAAAATGACCAGTTTCACATCTCTTCAGTGATATCAAAATAGTGAGGTATTAGTATAACTTGTTATCCTATACTATCTTTTTATATTATATTTTATTCAGTGGTATTACAATATATTCATTGTGTATATTCATTTATACACATTCTTATCAACGGACATTATATGTTATATTCTATTCTAATCAAATTATCACTTTTCTTTATTTTATCAAATTCAGTATAACTGCTTGTATTACTAACACTTTTTGTCAGTTTTTTACTAACACTTTTTTTAATTAAGACATTTTTCTATGTATTCTATATACTAATCAAATACAGTGTCACGACTTTTTCGTTTTGAAGTATTAAATTATTACAATGTTTATACATAGTACAAAAATTTCATATGGGTCCATTTTCCATGCACGTCGGGGATGTTATCATTACATTATATAGTGTGGCTCAAATATTTGCCATAGTAATCAAAAATTGATATAAAAATATTTTCCAGACGACTGCAATTAAAACCACATTATTTATTAACTTGCCGTAGGGTAAGTTATTGTAATCGTCCAAAAATCGAAATTGAAAATTTTTGCATTTCTCGACGTTTTGAAGGTTTCTGAACATTTTGGCATACCTCAAAAAAAATGGATGTGTGTGTGTGTATGTATGTTTGGATACAATTTTTCGTCCACGTTTCTGGGCGCACGGTTTTTAAGAGAACGGAGCATCCGATTTGAATTATCTAAAACACATTCAATGAGTAATGATTGGGAGAAGTGGTTATTGGTTTTTGGCAAAGGCAGGCCCAGCCATTTTGAAGATACAAAGCTAAATATGCAAAAATGGCAGCTTTTCAGAGAACTAAGTGTCCGATTTAATTGATTCGAAAAACTTTCTGCTTGTTTTAACAAAATAATTGATTTTGGAAAAGAAAATTCTAAATTTTTTTTTAATTTTTTTTTCAAAAAAAAAATTTTTTTTGTATATCGAAAATAAGTCAGATTTTATTTTTAATTCTGGCTATAGTTGTATTATACTTTAAACAAATAATTTCAACTTTGCAATTCAGTTTATATAATTCTTATAAATATTAGACAATGTTACAATATTTATAATAATCTATTTGAAAACATTCAATATTCCTCGAACATTTCATTTCAAAGTTCCAGCAATTTGCCTTAACGATGCCACACACCCCACTAGTTTTTCTATATTTTTTACTCTAACAACAAGAAATAAGGAACTTATTTCGCATATTTTCAATGATATTTTGGCAGAATAATGAAGTAGAAAATTGATGGTGGAAATATTGGATCTATTTTGGTTAGAACATTTTTTGTTTTTTTCTCATTCATACATATTTCTCTTATCCGATCAGAATGCTATCTCTTTCTCATAAATATATTGTTAATAATTTCTGCTTATCATTTCTATTAGCAGATTGAAAAATAAATGAATTTAAAAAATCTTAACAGATTTGAGATAGTAATCCAGAATTGTTATCAAAGAATTCTAAATCTAACGACAATTCATGTATATCTTTGCTTCAAAATCTGTGAACGTATATCAGAATTGACTTATCTCTCTTCTTGTGATTTCCCAAATAGGAAAGCCCATTTATATATTTTTATATATTTTCTTCACAAACCATTCAGAATTTTAATTTTGTCTCAAAATTCTAATTTTGTCTCTACAAATAAAATTTTTCAGAGGTCATATTGACTGACCGGTAGTTCAGCCACATGAGAAAATGAAAAAAATAACTAAAATCAATGAGTGAAGGAAATATTATTAGTAAATTCTAAGAATTATTTGAAATAATATTTACACGTTTGAAAATGTCTGTTTTACAGAAAGTTTTAAACAGTCAATTTGACCGACGTTGCTAGGTTTTGCATTAAAGTCGTATTCTCAAATAAATTAAATCTAAAAAAAAATATTTTTATTATAGTGACCTGTTCCGTAAACGGAGTACTCGCAAAACAAAGCACAGACGAGCTTCTCCCGTCACAAACGGTCTCAGCCCGCCAGTGTCGCCGTTGCAGAGAAGCGGCCCTCCAACGGCCCCATCCTCACCCAGGAAATACCGCGGGTCCCGGACCTCTGCTTCGCTTAGGGTCAAAGGGCTCCTGGGCAGAGTTTGGGCGAGAGATTCCAAGTCGAAATCGTGCGAAAACCTTCATGTTTTGTAAGTGGTTTATGAAAAGCGTATCTTATAAATATGTAAACGTACGATTTCTTTGTATATTATGAATAATGGTATTTTTTTGATCAATCACTTTTTTTATAAATTTTCTCTTGATTAATTACTAAGATTCTTACCAGAATATTAATTGAAGCTATGAAATTAAACGATGTTATTTTTTGGTAAAAATCTTTAAACAATAGAAAGTATTATATTTACCTATTTTTTATGATTTAATATTAAAAAATGATAATTCTTTTGAAATTGCATTATATTTTCATAACATACAAATATTTGATGTATTATTTAATGGTGTAGTATAATTATAGTGATAATTTAATATTTTTATATACAATTTGTTAATAAGATATAAATGTTCTACTCATTAGTTTTGTGTTTGAAAGTATTCGACACATATGAACTCAAATTTACATTAATGATAATTTTTATAAATACTTTGAAATAATCATATCAAGGTTAATATTGTCAAAATTTGTAAATTATTAAAATTTCAAGTTTTGCTTATACCACAATTGTAAATCAAAATTGTAATAACTCAAGATACTGGACAATTGCTCAGTAAAAAATATTAATTCCCCATTGAAGTTTTTTTTTGTTAAGACAATCATTTAATTTTCAATATGTCTATATATGGTGTTTGGGTTATAATAATTTTTGATTTATAATTGACATAAATAAGTTATATATATTCTTAATTGTGATGTCATAAACTCCAAAAATAATTAGAATAGTTGTTATATTTGTAAAACATGTCGATTGATATACGTTAAGTATATTCATATTTGTATTCAAGTTTAGAACGTTATAGTGCTTGAAATTAAGCCAAATGGGTCCATAAATGTTTTAGCATTGTTAGCTAATCGTATATTATAAGAGTTATATGATAGATGATGGATTTAATGGGTTCTCAATCATCAGTCTTGTAGTTGAAAGCAACCCCATTGATTAGATCCATGTGAAATTTTTATACGATTGCCCAATAGTTATAGAGATTTGAAGAAAAGTATTTTTCTAAAATTAAATGTTTATTTGACATGGTAAAATAGTTAATAAGCGGCTCAGATCTTATTTTGTTTAAATTAAAATGTTAATTGTTATTATAGCGTACAAATAATTAATAAGGATTTAATGTGTTCTATTAATATTATTACAGTATTGTCATTTTTAAGACTGAAGAAACAGCGGAAAATGTTTGAAAAAAAAATTATATTAAGTATTGCATATATATATATATATATATATATATACTTTACTTTCAATTGGCTGCTGCACACTTTGCATAGGGTTTTCTTATTTTCATATTTAATTTACTAGCACGAACTAAATAATACAATGTGTGAACATAAATTGCAATATTTTAAGTTTCATAACAATATATAATAGTTATTCAATTTATAATTCTTAATTGACGCATTTCAACTTATTATTTTACCCAAATCTTCACTTGAAAACATGTATGGTCTTTCTCGATGATTTTTAACGATCAATCATCATTTTCCTTTATAAAGCGAATGTAACAATAATTTGCAAGACTCGAATGTTCTGTTTTTGCCTATATAATTAATTTTTTATGAAAAATCGTAGATTATGCCTTTGACAAATTATTTACAGATAATATTTTTTATGATTTTTTTTTTTTGCATTAAAAATGTGTTACATTATTAAAATGCCTATTGGACATAATTTCATTGCAAAATCCCATTTGAATAAAAATTATTTTATTGAGCACATAAGTTTTGAACAAAAATGTAATTTCTCAGAAAATTGTTAGCGAAGTAGTATAGACAAATAATTTTTTTGATTTTGTTTCAAGTATTGCCACGTTCGGAAATTTCGGGTAAAATAACATAGTAATTTTAAACTACAACAATTAACCATAAGTAGATGTTACTACAGCATTTGACCACAACCCTTATATGTGCTTTTCAGACCTAATCACATTATATGTCATAAACGATATGTTTAAATTTTATTTACAATTTATATAAAAAATCCCAAATTTGAATAATTAATTTGTAAATTGTATAAATAAACACCAAAAACACATTTGCACGATACAACCAATGAAAATCTAACTTTATCTTGGATTTATTGTAAAACTTTTAGACACCCTTCGACACCAATTCCTAGAACAGAAATGACCAAACTTATGGAACATTATTATTGTCTTTATAGTATATAAATAGAGTAAGAAATGAAAATAATGACAATATAAAAAAGTTAGAAAACAATTAGTTACTGAATTTTATTTTTTAACATTACATTACTATTGCGTTGAATTTAAAAATAATCCATAAACAAATTGTATTATGGATTAATATTTTGAAGAGTTCCATATTTTAGTAAAATGTAATAAAACTATATCGAAAGATATATTTTTAGATAAAACATTCTATATAGAAATGTCTTCCAGTTTTACTTCCGTATCGAAAATAATTAAAAACTTTTTAGTATTGTCATTATTGCTTTATAAAAAAAAGTTATAATCATATCATCGGTTGATCTGACGTGTTTAGAATTTATTAAATTATATGCTATGCACAATTGGGAATTTATTAGAAGTAATTATATTAACTACGATATAGTTATATGAAAATATATCGTTTATAAAATAAATGTTACAAAAGGTCATTAACAATATTTACAGATTTTGAGAAACGGCTGCGCTATGTATTTTTGCTAAATATTTTGGTAATTTAATTAAATTTTGTATAATAGTATTAGCATATTTTTGAAACTAAAAACACACCATTGATGTTTCGAAAATTTGATCTTAGTTATTAATTCTATATGATATTTGTAAAACCTTTTCAGCTTATAAACTGTGGTCATGAAAACATTATATTAAATCAAATGCTCATTATACTTATTATTTTTTATCTAAAGGATATTGAAACAAAGAACAAGAAAGTGAAGAAATGTATTATTACTAAAAATATATAAAATGTTAATACAAGCATAGCAAACTATAGATCAACTGGAAAGGTTTGACAAATATAGGTAGAAATCATGGCATATTCAATATTTAATATTTTTTAACCCTGAATGTTGATGAATTTAATATTTTTTAGAGGTGAAAGTACCATTTCTAAGATAATTATACCCAGAAGTGCTACTGCTCGTAGGATTTTTTTTTTTGTTATGAGTTTTAAATAAAGAGGCTATTCCTCTGCGCCATTACTTCATTCTATTAAGAACCTATTTTTTAATTATACTGCAACAAAAATTGTATTTAAAACAATTCCTATACATTAATCAATTACTTAAGTAATGTGTGATTAATGACATATAGTGCAGTAAACGGAGCGTTTTAGGTCTGAATTTTTTTACGGTGCTCCGAATTGAATGAAATTTTGGAATTAAGTTCATCTTACCCTCAAATTCAAAAGTGAAAATAATTCGGGTTGCGCCATCACCCCCCAGGGGGATGACACCCCCTCTCAATTGTGTAATTACATTTTTTCAAAATAACATCGGAAATCGATAGAAGAACTAATTATAAGAAAAAAATGTCTTTTATAGTTTTTCAAAAAAACTAATACTTTTCAAGTTACTGGCCACCAAAGATTCATATATTTTTGGCGTTTTTCTTCGTTTTTTTGCAAATATCTCCTAAAATATACATTTTAACGAAAATCATGTAATGAACAAAATAATGTCAGTAAAAATCTTACTAAATCGGTATTACATAAAGTTTTCTAGGAAAAATATTAAGAAAGATTTGAAAGAGCAAAGTTGTTTTTTATTTCGTTCAAGAGATAATTGTTGTATTTAAAGCCATCTAGTGTCGAGGTTTTACATTTTATGCATTTCGGTGAAATTGGGTTTTATAGTGCTCAACATAAGCTTCAAAATGAGTGCTGTTACAAGTTTTTTGCGTGTAAAATGAGTGAGCTATCGTGCAAATAAGAAGCATATACAAAGTTTTTTTCCTTTAAATCACATGGTTTAATGAGCGCCATTTCCACCAGAATTAAAGTAATTCACATTCCATCTAGAATTCACTTCATTATAGACATCTTGATGGATTCTAGCAGATTCACTACTTTAGTACAAACTATGTTCAGAAAACTCACGATTTTATAAAAACTTTTTTTTCCAATTTTTTTAAAAATCGAAATTATTTTCATTATATCTCAAAAAAAATAAAAGATACGTATAAAAGCATATAGATAAAAATCAAAGGGATCTTTCTGGCTTATTTTTGTTTTTTATTATTTTTCTTTCACACAAAAGTTGACAGAGTTATGAATGTTTAAAGACTGCGCGGCCGCGCAAATTGGAAAAAAAAAGTTTTTATAAAATCGTGAGTTTCCTGAAAATAGTTTGTACTAAAGTAGTGAATCTGCTAGAATCCATTAAGATGTCTATAATGAAGTGAATTCTAGATGGAATGTGAATTACTTTAATTCTGGTGGAAATGGCGCTCATTAAACTATGTGATTTAAAAGAAAAAAACTTCGTATATGCTTTTTATTTGCTTGATAGCTCACTCATTTTACACGCAAAAAACTTGTAACAGCACTCATTTTAAAGCTTATGTTGAGCACTATAAAACCCAATTTCACCAAAATGCATAAAATGTAAAACCTCGACACTAGATAGCTTTAAATACAACAATTAAATCTTGAACGAAATAAAAAACAACTTTGCTCTTTCAAATCTTTCTTAATATTTTTCCTAGAAAACTTTATGTAATGCCGATTTATTAAGATTTCTACTGACATTATTTTGTTCATTACATGATTTTCGTTAAAATGTATATTTTAGGAGATATTTGCAAAAAAACTAAAAAAAACGCCAAAAATATATGAATCTTTAGTTGCCAGTAACTTGAAAAGTATTAGTTTTTTTGAAAAACTATAAAAGACATTTTTTTCTTATAATTAGTTCTTCTATCGATTTCCGACGTCATTTTGAAAAAATGTAATTACACAATTGAGAGGGGGTGTCATCCCCCTGGGGGGTGATGGCGCAACCCGAATTATTTTCACT